TAACTGTGTACTTAGTTATTAAGTACTTTAACTGTATTATTATTAATACTTTAAAAAACCCTTTGTGTTTTTTTTTAAAGTTATTTTAATAGTTTAGAACTGTTTATTATGTAATAGCTTTTAGAACTGGTTAGTATTATTGATGACTTTAACTGTATTATTATTGAATACTTAACTGGTAGTTATTATTATATTGTAACTGATCATTATAATATGTTTAACTGAATTTATTAGTTGAATACTTTAAGCTGTATTACTTATTAATTATCGTGTTAACTGTAGTGGTATTATTAATACTTGTAACTGATTTATTATTATTGAATACGTTGTAACTTAATTATTAGTTAATAGTTTAACTGTATCATTGATCTACTTATTATTCAATACTGTTAACTGTTAGTGGTAGTTATTAATGACTTTAACTGAAGTTAAAATGCTGGGCAGCAGTTCAACACTGGAGAGATTAAATAAATAGCTCACGTTGTATGATTTCATATTAAAATAAAGGTGTACAAACCTGCCACGGTTACTTTAAAAGGCAGCGTCATGTAGTCTTGTGAATCATTTTCACTCTGATGTGTTTTATAAATTAAATTCACGTTTCTTCTATTTCCAGGCTAACAAGCTAACGCGTAACACTCCATAGCTCGCGGCTCATCATTAGCTTGCCAGGGAGCTAATACATATTAAACCTTTTCTAAACAAAGTGAGCCAGGCACAGAGTCTCTAGCAGACAGACAGACAACACTTTGATCCGGTCAGAAACCACATTTTAGTCATCTATTGAAGCTGCAGCGCTGAGGCGAGCTCCCTCTACTTCCTGTAGCATTCGCTGCTAACAGGAAGTGAGTCTGCGGAGAAACATCCGTAAAGTTTACACACAAAAACTCCACTTAACGGAGTTTATCCACGAATACAGACTCTGTTTATGAAGTCTGGTTGCGACATTAGCCACAATAAACCAGGGTGACGAGGTCATGACCCGCCCTCCTCTGCCTCTGATTGGCTGGATTTCTTAGTGGAGGAATATGATTGGTTAAGGACAGAACGACAGGATGTCATGACTTTCAAAATAAAGCTGGTCAAATTCTTATTTCTTTGTCAAGAATAAACGATGGTGCCCAAAATGTATTAATTATTATACACGGTAATGTATTTATACTTAATTAATACAACTGATAATTTATAGTATCATATTTCATAATACATAATTATAATAAAAGCATTTTCCAAGACAAAGTGACAAAGTAACTAATAATAATAATAATAATAACTTTATGTACATGCACCTTTCTGTCTGTGTTGTTCATACATTTAAAATGCAAATTCTTACATTCTACAGTTGTAAAAAGGTGTAGTCATTTAGTAAAAGAGAGTAAATAAGAAAAACCTGATATACAAGTACTTCTACTACCCGTCTACTAGATGGCGCCATGAAGTACCACAGTTCAGTAACTTCCCCACCAATGAACAACATTTCAGTTACACTTAAATGAGCCGCCATAGTTCAGTGTCCAGTACATTTTATTTGACTTTTTTTCTTGCTGTTGAATAAGTTACAATTGATGCTACAAAATGATTTGGTTTTGATAAATCAACACACATACTAAAGCACCACAAGTCTTTCTTAGTAACTTCACATGGTTTACAATAAGTTTACGACTGATTACTGTCATAAATTAACACACTTTTAATCATTAAAACATTGTAATTACTCATTTATTCCTGCTACACAAATGAAAATGTTTAAGGCGAGAGAATATTATAATTAGTTTTCAGTACTCCTTTCAAAAAGACAGGAGAAGAAAGGTCACTGTGCTAAAATAAAATAAAAAATAACTTAATGTTATAAATTACCTTAAACAAGTCAAAATACTCTTCAAAAATACAACTTTAAAGGCTGTTTCATAGAAATAAAGAACCTGGTAGGAAGGAGATTAGTCATCATGTACTTATTTCTTTCAAATGACTTGAAGCTGATCATTAAAGTAGATGTTTAAAGGACTTTAAATAAGACTTTATTTAAGGGAACCTAGAAGCTGAGCTGGGTCCGGAGGGATGTGTCTGCAGTCACTTGGAGGTTTGTTGTGCTATATAGGTAAATCAATCAATGAATACATGTAATAAAAAACACAGGTCAGATGAAAAAATGTAAACAACACAAAAATAACAATTAAAATGATCATGTGACTCCATCTTTACTGAAACGACGAAGCACGACTTATTTCAACGTCACAGTTTTGAGTCTTTATTCATTATTGTGCAGAATATGTCCAAAAACAAATCATGAGATCGGGATAGAGTTGCTGCAAAGGTCAGCCCAACCGGTTCTTTAGCAAATTGCACAAGAACATGCAAAAATAGTCGCGTAAAGTGCTCAGATCCACACCACTTTAAGACTGCGCTGCATTGCTATACTTCAGCGTAAAAGAATGAATCAAAGTATAAATCGATAACACACAACTATTTGTGAAGGCAACTGGCTCACAGTCTTGTAAACAAGCACCAGTCTTCTACAAATGCTTGTTGTGTGGACAAATTTGACCAAACAGGAGTGCTTTGACTGAAGTCACAGTGGTTACATCTGTCTGTGGAGAGAAGTTTTTATGAGAAATGTTCTAGTTTACTTCTATTAAGCCAAGTGACTCACAACTAATTAGTTTGTTCTGTGTGGACTCTCGTGTGTCTGGATAAAGAGGTTTTGTCACTGAAGCTTTTTTCACAAACTGAGCATGTGAAAGGTTTTTCTCCTGTATGAATTCTTACATGTGCGGTCAAAGTTGCACTTCGTGCAAATCCTTTACCGCAGAAGGAACAAACAAAGGGTTTTTCCCCTGTGTGGATTGTCATGTGCTGGGACAATGTGGCTCTGAGACCGAAGGCTGCTTGACAGACGGAGCATGTGAAAGGTCTTTCCCCTGTATGACCTCTTAAATGTAAGGTCAAAGTTGTGCTTCTTGAGAATCCTTTACCGCAGAAGGAGCAAATGAAGAGTTTTTCACCAGTGTGCTTTCTCATGTGTTGAGTTAGAGCACTTTTGACACTGAAACTTGTTTCACAAACTGAGCATGTGTAGGGTTTCTCTCCTGTGTGAACTCGTAAGTGTGTAGTCAAAGACGAGCTTTGTGTGAATCTTACGCCGCAGACAGAGCAACTGAAGGGTTTCTCCCCTGTGTGGATTCTCATGTGCATCCTAACCACTCCTCTCCGGAGAAAGGCTTTTTTACAAACTGGGCAGCTGAAAGGTTTTTCACCCGAATGAAGTCTCAAATGAGTCTTTAAGGATCCCTTCAGGGCGTATCTTTTACCACAAAATGAGCACCTAAATGGTTTCACTTCTGTTTCTGTTCCTTTGTGTTCCTGCAGGTCCTGTCCAATGCTTGAATCACATTCAGAGGAGTTATCACTTTCAGGTTCTACTGTGTTTTTCTGAGGTTTTGAACCTGACTGAGGTTCCCTGGTCTCCTCCCAATCACAACTGTCATCAGTCTCACTCTCAGAGGAGTCTGACGTCTCATCATCAGGATCACGTTGTGAATGACTACCTGGATCAGAGTTCCTGGCTGGTTCTGGTCCTCCATAGTCGT